CCGCCAGGGATGCCACTAATAGCTGTGGTATGGCAGCCAGGCGCCGCAGCCCCCAGCTCTGTTCCGCTTTGCGCTCCTGCCTGGGCTGTGCCCAGCCCTGCCTGCCCCCAGCCTTCCTTGCCTGCCCTCCTCTGCCTCGCTGCCGTGCTGGGGGCAGGAGTGTGGCCACAGAGTTGGTGGCCCTTTCCCGGGAGAAAGCAGCACCTGTCTCTGGCAGTGGCTCTGGGGGGGCTGGGAAATCGCGGGGGCTGAGCTCCCCTCTGTTGTTTTTGCTGCAGGCCCGATGGAGCAGGGAGGCTGGTGGCGGTGGCTGCTGCTGCTGCTGGGCATCCAGCTGGCCGGGGGCCAGTGCCCGGAGCAGTGCCAGTGTGTCCGCACCGCCCAGGTGGAGTGCTCTGGTGCTGGCATCACCACGGTCCCCAGCCCCATCCCTGCGAACGCCATGACCCTCCAGATCATCAACACCCGTATCGCTGAGCTGGGCGATGCGTCCTTCGGCAACGCCTCCCTGCTGATTGGGCTGCGCATCGAGAAGAATGACCTGTCGCGCATCAGCCCCGGGGCCTTCCAGCACCTGCCCGACCTGCGCTACCTCAGCCTGGCCAGCAACAAGCTGCAGGAGCTCCCCGTGCAGGTCTTTGAGCCCCTGGACAAGCTGGAGTCGCTGCTTCTCTCCAGCAACCAGATTCTCCAGGTCGAGCCTTCCCACTTCACCAGCCTGACCAACCTCAAGGAGCTGCAGCTGCACGGGAACAACCTGCAGGAGCTGAAGGAGGGGGTGTTCGACCAGCTCACCAGCCTCACCAAGCTCAACCTGGCCAGGAACAACATCGACCGCCTGCCGCCCCGCGCCTTCGAGCGGCTGGCACGGCTGCAGGTGCTGCGGCTCTACGAGAACCGGCTCCGGCAGATCCCGGAGGGTGCCTTCGACGGGCTGCCAGAGCTGCAGGAGCTGGGGCTGCACCAGAACCAGCTGGAGACACTGTCCCCGGAGCTCTTCATGCACAACGGGAACCTGCAGAAGCTCTACCTGTCCAACAACCTCCTTGCCGCCCTGCCAAGCGGCATCTTCTTGCCGCTGCGCTCCCTCGCCAAGATCACCTTGCACGTCAACCGCCTACGGGACATCTCCCCCGGCGCCTTTGGGCCCATGCCTGACTTGCGGGAGCTGTGGCTCTACGAGAACGAGCTCTCCACCCTCCCCACCGCTGTCTTCGGCAACCTCACCCAGCTGCGGCTCCTGGTCCTCAGCAAGAACCGGCTGCGCTTGGTGGCACCAGGGGCTTTCCAGGGCCTGGGGGAGCTGCTGGAGCTGTCGCTGCACTCCAACGCCCTGCGCCGCCTGGACGCCCAGGCGCTTCAGGGGCTGCCCAAGCTGCAGAACATCTCCCTGCACCACAACCAGCTGCAGGCGCTGCCGCGGGGCCTCTTTGGGGCCACCCCGGGGCTGCAGCACCTGCAGCTGCACTCCAACGCCCTGCAGTACCTGCCTGCTGGCATCTTCTCCCCCCTGGCCACCCTGCGGGAGGTGAAGCTGCACAACAACTCCTGGCGCTGCGACGAGGGCATCCTGCCTCTGCGGGGCTGGCTGGAGGACAACCCCCACAAGGTGGGCGAGACACCCCCTCTCTGTGCCCAGCCCCCCACCCTGCGGGGCATCCCTATCGCTGGGGTTCCACGGGACCAGCTCCTTGCCTCCCAGTTCCCCACTGCCTCCCCCCATCCCAGCACCCTGCTCCCTTCTCACCCCCCTGAGGCGGCGGTGCCGGAGGGTGCCTGGACGGAGCCCCCCATGGGGCTGCCGGCATCCCCCCGGGAGGAGGAGAAGGAGCAAGAGGAGGAGGAGAGGGGGCGGTGGGGGCTGACGCGCATGCAGAGTGGGGTGGTGGTGGCAGTCATCGTGCTGGTGTGTGTGGCCCTGCTGGCCGCTCTCGTGGCGCTGGTGGTCTATGGCTGTAGGAAGAAGAGCCACGTTGTGCTCATGAGGATGAAGGCACCTAACGAAGCCTGAGTGCCCGGCAGACCCTGGGGGGAGCGGTGCTGTCGGGGTATCCCCTCCCCATGGGGCCGAGGGACATGACAGCAGCTCTGTATCAGCTGTCCTCACTGATTTGGACAGGCTGGCATCACCCTGCGTGCTGCATGTCCCCCCGTCCTGTTCTGCTTTGCTCTGTCCCTGCTTTGCAGCAGGGCATCCCCCCCACCCCGGGTGACCTCCCATGGCTGTGCTCTGTCCCCAGCCCCTCCCGCCCCCAGTGCAGCCCCTGTGCCCATTCCTTGCCTGGGGGCAGCAGCCGGGGTGGGATGGGGGGGCAGGGGTTGAGAGGCACCCCTCGAGCAGGGAGCCACAGCCTGGCCATGATGGTGCTTACTCCAAACAAGACTTTCCCCATCCTTCATCTCGCCTCATTGCTTCCAGCGCTGCCTGCCCTTGCGCTGCTTGCTGACCTCCTCCAGCCCCTCTTCCCCATCTTCCTCTCCCCACCCCCCATGCCTCCGGACCCTGGCCCTGCCTGGGCAGGCGGGTGCAAGCCATCATGCAGGGCCGGGAGCAGAGCGAGCGCCTTCGCCCCCAGCAAAGCTCCCCGTCCTGGTGCTGCTGTGCATCTTTCCTCACCCCAAGCCACCTCCTGCTCCCCTCCCGCTTGTGCCTCGCCTGCCAGTTGAGCCGCGGGGCCACGTGCTGGCGTCTGGGCGCAGCATCAGCCCCCCCAGCCCTCGCCTCACGCTGGTGCTAACCCTCCTGCACCCTGCTGCAGGGCAATCATCGAGGTGGGGTGCGAAGCGTGCGGGGAGCTGGCCCCCCTGCCTGGCCGTGCTGGCCGCCCCTTCCCCTGCGAGTGCTGTCTACCAGGGGCTAGGAGAGGCTCCTGCGCTTGTGCCCCGAGGTGGCTGGAGGGTGCTTGGGCTGCTCCTGCTGCACTCTGTCCCTGGTCCTCGCTGCCTCCACACCCTTGTGCGTACTCTGCCAGCTAGCCAGCAGCCTGGCCCTGCTCTACCTGGCAAAGCTACATCCTCTCCTCCCCTCTCCTCTTCCTCTCCCCACCCTGAGTGTTCCCCAGGTGCGTGTGCCCGGTCCTGCTGCCTGCTTGCAGCCTTCGGGCAGCAGGGATGCTGGCGGTGCGTGCCGGGACAGGGGTCAGCAAGCGCTGGCTGCCCTGCAAATTGCAGTCAGGGGCCACGCTGCCCCCCAGCAGCACCTGTGTCCAGTGGCCACCATGCCTCCTCCAGCTGTGGCATGGCTGCAGAAGAGTCCAGCTCACCCCTGGGTGTGGTGTGGCAGCACCAGGCTGCCTGGGGATCGCTGCCACGGGACAAGGATCACCCTTGGTGTGCACCCCATGGTGCTGGCTGCTCACAGCCCCCCAGCAGCCGGTGGTGGCACAAGCAGCCCCACGCTCGCACACGTGGTGGGATGCTCCTCCGGGCTGGGACCTGCATGGCGGCAAGAGATGTGGGACTGTGCCGTGGGGCTGTTGGGTGCCGCTCTGTGACCTCTCTATTAAAGCACAGTTGTCTACCCCCAGTGCCAAGAGTTGTTCATTCACTCCTCCATGGTGCGCAGCCGGGGAAGGACCCAGCAGGGACAGGAACCATGCTTGATTTCATCTGCGAAGAGGTTTTCTTCATGTTGAAGAAAAGTCTGTACAGGCTGGTGGGGCTGGGAGAGGGTTAGTGGGCTGCGCTGCAGAGCCCGCGCTGGCCTGGGCTCCGACCTGGGGTGAGGGACCCAGGAGGGCTCAGCCATCCAACAGCAGCAGGATGGCTTTTGGAGAGTGAGCGGAGACCTGGGCGAGCTTCTCGATGGAGACATCGACTGCCTCCTGTGCAGTCCTCTCCCTGGGCCAGAGCCCTGAGGGTTTCCCCAGCTCCATGCTGGGGTGGTGGGGAGCTGACTTGGCTCCCTGCAGAGCTGACTGCCCCTCGCTTGTGTCCACTGAGTTGCTCTGTGCGTCACTGTCTGCTCCATCGGTCCAGCTGAATGCACCTAAGTGTCCTTCCTCTGTGGCTGGGGGCCCCCACACTGGCCCTTGCAGGGCAGCCCCTTAAGTTGGTGTATGCTGCTCCCCGGGGCGGGCTGCAAGCTCCCTGGGAGTCCAGCTAGTCCATGGGTCCTTCTGGCCACCCCACCACTGGCTGGGCGCATGTCCCAGGCTACAAAGCACATGGTGCATCTCAACGTGATGGTCCCAGGGTGGTCCCCTCCCCATGGTGTTGCTTTGCCTTGCTAAGCTATGCCTGGTCCTCTCTCTCGCACAGGGGACGTTTGCCAGCCCCATTCCCCACTCAGATTTTAATAAAGTCCAGAAGGGATCTTGGGGGGCTGCTGCAAGCAAACGTGCTGACTTTGGTGTGGGACTAGTGCCACCGGTGACAGCAGCACCCTACCACCACCCCAGGGCCAGTGGCTGTCAGGGGCCAGGACCCCACTTCCCTGCCAGGATGCTCTCTGGTGGCTGCCTCTGGCCTCACCTCCAGTCCCTCTGGGGTCAGGTTATTTTTTGAAGCATTCCAAGGACACGGGTTGTTGTTGCCGATAAGCAGCGAGGGGCAGCTCCGCCCCAGCAGGAACAGCCCATCAGCTGGCTTCTCATCCGCCCCAGAAGACATCATCCCATCTCAGCGAGCGGCGCCCTTGCAATCCTGCTGCGGGCAGGTCCCCACGATGCCACGCTCGGTAAGTGGTGGCCACGCCGCTCGGGTGGTTTGGGGGGGCCTGGGAAAGGTAGGAATCGCTATTGGCTCTGTGTGAAAACAAGTGAGATAGTGGAAAGGAAAAGCCAAGCCCAATGCTGCTCTTGAGCGCTGATCTAAGTCCAGGATCCTCCCAATTGTGCAGGGTGTCTGCAGGTGGGCATCGCCATGGGGCAGGCAGCATCTCCTGTTGCCCGGCATGTGTCCTCAGTAGGGAGGGACCGGTGGAGGTTTGGAGGCCACCGCTTTGCTCAGGTGGTCAAAAAGTGCCTCCCGTGGGCTGGAAACAGGCATTTGATCAGCAAAACACCCCTTGGGCAGGTTTGGTGCTGCTCTGGATGCTTGCAGAGAAAGAAGTACTTGATGGGCAATTAGAAATACAACCAGTGGACCCTGCTTCTTTTGTCCCCGAGTGCAGAACAGCCCTGCAGTGCTGTCCCCATCACCCAGCGTGTGTGGCACATCCCTGGGCTTCACACATTTCCCTGCCCCAGTAGCCAGCTTCGTGCCCACAGAGACATCTTGTGAGGCTGCGGGTTTCCCTGAGACCCCCACGGGACCCCACAGCTCCCACCTTGGCCGCTGCTCTGCAGGATGTGGGGACGGTTGGCAAGGGTGGCACCACCCTCGTTGCCACAGGGCAGGCTGGAGCAGGGCTGGGTGCAGGGGAAGAGACCCGGCCCACTGCATGGGGCATGCGGGGAGGGATTTGGGAGTGAAGCGCTCCCCGTTCCCTCAAGGGGAGTACTGGGATGCTATGGGGGCCCAGGGCTGGAGGGATGTCTGATGGCCCGGGCAGCTGCCCGTGCTGGCAGTGCCCCGGGCCTTGTTCCCCTGCATTTCTGGCTGCAAAAGCCACTTCACCAGCAGCACCTGCCTGTGGGTGCAGATTTCTGCCCCGCCGAGGCAGGGGATGAGGCTCGGCTCCTTCTCCAGTGCAGGCTGGTGGTCTACATGCTGCTGGGGCTGGGGTCGCTGCTGGTCAGGGGGCTGCCCCCACCCTGCCCCCCTGCCTGCCAGTGCTACGACACCTCCAAAGTCTTCTGCTCAGAGGAGACCATGCGGGAGATCCCGGCGGACCTGCCAGGGAACGCCACCCAGCTCTTCTTCGTGGAGACGGCCCTGACCAGCATCCGCAGTGGGACCCTGGGCTCCAGCACCACCCTCACCAAGCTGGTCTTCCTCAAAAACAACATTGAGGAGCTGGAGGCCGGCGCCTTTCAGGGGCTGCCCAACCTCGTGGAGCTAGAGGTGTCAGGAAACCCCTTGCCAGCGGTCAGCCCGGGGGTGCTGGTGGGGCCGCCCAGCCTCAGCAAGCTCTCCCTGGGGGCCAACGCCATCCGCTCCCTGCAGCCGGGGCTCTTTGCCGCTGCCTACCGCCTGCAGGACCTGCGCTTGCCAGGGAACAAGATTGAGGCGCTGCTCCCCGGCATCTTCCGCCCGCTCCGGCGCCTCCAGACCCTGGATCTCTCGCAGAATGCCCTGGCTGAGCTGCCGGCCGGGGCCTTCGCCAGGCTGGGGGGGCTGCGGCGGCTGCAGCTGCAGCACAATGCCCTGGGCAGCCTGGCCCCCAACACTTTCGCCGGTCTCCTCAACCTCACCTTCCTCAGCCTGGAGGGCAACCGCCTGGCCACCCTGCCCACCGCCCTCCTTGCCAGCACCCCTCACCTCCTCCACCTCTCGCTGGCCCACAACCAACTGGAGACGCTGCCCCAGGGGCTCTTTGCCAACCTGTCGGTGCTGCAGACCCTGGCGCTCTCCCACAACGCCATGGTCCATCTCCCCGCCGGGGTCTTCCAGGGGCTGGAGGGGCTGGGGGGGCTGCAGCTGAGCCACAACAACCTCTCCAGCCTGCCGGCAGGGCTGCTGGCTGGGCTGCCTCTCCTGGCCTCCCTGGCACTGGACCACAACCACCTGGCTCATTTGCCCCCGGGGCTCTTTGATGCCAAAATGGAGCTGGTGCAGGTGGGGCTGGCGTACAACCCTTGGGCCTGTGACTGCCGCCTGGCCTATCTCCTGGGCTGGCTGCAGAGCTTTGCTGAGCCCCTCACCCACGCACAGGCCTCCTGCGCTAGCCCGGCTGCCCTCCAGGGACAGTCCCTGCTGGAGGTCCCCCAGGGGCGGCTGGAGTGCCCAGGAGAGCCCAGCATCCCACCAGAGGAGGGCTGGGACAGGGTGCTGGGGGAGGATGCTCCGGGGCAGTGCACCTACAGCAACCCCGAGGGCACAGTAAGCGTGGCCTGCAATGCCACCAGCTGCCAGCAGCTCAGCCTTCGCCTCCCTCCTCTTCCTCCTCCCTGGCAGGCGGTGGGGCCGGGGCTGGTGTTCCAGGGTGCCTGGGTGCTGCGCTCCCGCTGTGGCACACTGCAGGTCAGCATCCTTGTCACGGCGCAGAGTGGGGATGAGGCCATGTCCCCAGGTCCCCCTCCCGCGCCCTAGGGCTCCAGCAGGCGCCTGCTTCTGCTCTGCTCTTGCATTGGCAACCTCCGAACCAGCCTGGGAACTGGCTCCCCCTCTCGCTCTGCTGCCCCTACCGTGGTCACCGGCTGTCACCGAGCTCTCCGCAAGACCTGGCCCGGCGGTATTTATTCTCCCAGCTATGTGTTACCTGTGTATTTTAAATATCATTAAAATGTAGATATTATTTCTGTGCAACCAGTTCCCGTGGTGGAGAGAGGAAACACTTCCCCCCCCATCTCTGCCTGCGTATTTGGGGGAAGCGAATGTCACTGTGGTGCAACGGGGTCTTGGCTGGAGCTTGTGTGTGGTGTCCCATGGATGCAGATGCCTGGTGTTGCATAGGTGCTGCTCTCTGGCATTCTCATCTCTTCCCCCCTGCAGCTCTCCAGCCCCACCTCCTTCCCTCATTCCCTCGGCAGTGCAGAGACCCAGCCACAGCCTGGCACCAACACCCAGGGCACGGCTTTGGTATGGGGTGTCCAAGTCCAAGGGAGATGTGGGTGAGTGCTGCCAATGGCCTGGCATGGGCTGCCTGGCTGCAGGGTGGGCTCTGGCCCAGGGCTGTGCACAAGTAGGTCCCCCCCCCACAGCCCCACCATGGGACCCCTGTGGTCTGCCCCAGAGAGGCTCGGGGACCCACAGAGATGGGGTGTAACGTCCCAGCAGAGCTTCCCACCGGGGGATGGCAGGTAAGGTGGGTGTTCCTCTGAGAGAGCAAGTGTGGGTGCATGCATGTGTGTTCGTGGGTGCATGGTGCATGTTCGAGGGTGCACACATGTGTGCGTGTGTCCCACAGGAGCTGTGGTGTGGTGTTGCTGCAGTGTTTAGCAGCTGCTGGGACGTGGGCTCTCCTGGGCCAGGCAGAGCTGGGAGAGCCCTCCCCGCCCCTGGCCACCCTCCTCTGAGCCAGCCTTCCCAGCCCTGCCTGCAGCAGCGGGGGAGCTGGAGTCCTTGCTTGGGGCCGCGCTGGCTTTGCTGCACCTCTGCCAGCCCCTACCCTGCTGCTGCCCAGCCGTGGGGCTGGGAGCACAGTGGAGGCTCGGTGCTGTGTTAGCTCCTGGGAGGCAGGTGGGCGATGCTGCACCCCCAGACATGATCTCACACAGCCACCCTGCCACCTCTCCTGCACAAGGGACTGCCACCCTGCTGTGGCCATCTCCCAGGTGACGCTGGCGAGACCACCTCCAAGCTTGGACTGGGGAGGCCGGGGCTGGCTGCAGCTCCCCAGCCCTGGCCCAGCTGTCACACGTGGGCTGTGTGCTGTCTGTGGCAGGGGGAGGCTGGTGTCACCCCTGCCATGAGCTCCGTCCCCTCCTGCACCCTGGCTCTGCCACCCTACAGCCTCTGGAGCAGCCTGGCACTGAGCAGGGATGCATACAGGGCTGCTGTTGGGAAGGGGTAAGGCTGTTCAAAATGTACGATAGTTTGGAATGTTTCTAAATTTGCCAGGAAAGCCCAGGAGCACAAACTGAACCTTAATAAGAACAGGTGAAAACCACAGAAGAATTGCTTAAATGCAACTTGTGCAATTGTCCCCTGGGAAGCAATGGGTGCCTTGTCATTTTAAGCCTTTGCATCAGAGTGTTTCTTCCCAAGAGGTGCCCTGTGCCGGCCGGGAGCCCTGGGTGTCACCGTGGGAGGGTCTGTGGCTTGTGCTGGGGTGGAGGGGAGCACAACGCTCAGCCCCAGCCCTGCGGCCAGCAAGGTGTGGGGCTACGGGGCCAAGCTCAGAGCCTGGGTGTCAGTCTGTCTGTCTGGCCACAGAAGTCCTCACTGTTATAAGCTTAAACAAATGGCTTCAGAGCAGCACCTTTAGCTACATAAGCCAATTCCTGAGGAAGGAAACAGCTGGATATTTTTAATAGGAAAAGCTTTAAATAGGAAAAGCTCCCTTCTGTTGTGTTTGGGGGGTGGTGCCTGTGAAGCTGATGGGTCACACTGGTGGAGATATGGGACTACAGAGTTTCAGCTACAAAACAGGCTGGCCTGGAGGTCTTCAGGTTTCCCTGGGTTTGACTGGTCAAGTGGCACCAGCAGATAATGCCTGGGGAGCACGTGTCTGTGTCCTCTGCGAGGGGTTTCTGCAAGTGGCCTCCCACGCTGGGGGCACAGCTCCACTGCCTGCACCCCGGCCGTCCCTTATCTCCCCTCGCAGACCTGCACCCTGACCTCACATGAAACCAAGCCCTGTGCCTGGGCTGTGGATAAAGAGCTGGCCAGGTGATGGGACCCCCGTCTGCTGGCCTCCCTCCTCTCATGGCGTGGCTCGTTCCTGCAGCTGGACTTGTTCGCAAGCACTCGGCCAAGTAAGTGATGTAAAATGCTTTTTTTGTTCTTTAAAATGTGCCAGAGGGGGGGCTGTTGATTGATTCCTTGCAGCAAGGAGCAGGAGAGGCTGCAGTGCCATGAGCTGGGACCATCCTTCTGTGTCCCTGTGCTGCTGGAGGGTGGGCCAAGCAGGGGAGCACACAGCCAGCCGCGGTGAGGGAGGGTTTTAAAAGAGCTTTGCAGCTCAAAACTGTTGAATTTCATCCCCGTGCACCCAGCCCAGCCATTCCCACCTGCACATTTAACCCCTTGCACTGCCCCTGCAGCTGAAGTGCAGCAGGCACTTTTGCACCCATGCCCCTGGCTCCTGTACCTGAGTCGCCCCCGGGTGAGGATGGGCAGGGATCAGCAGTGGTTTCTGCCCTCGGGAGCCCTGCGGGGCAGCTGGCACATACCTCACCTCCCACCAGTTTCTCTTCAAACCTGGTAGGTTTCAGCCTCCTGTACTTGCTGACCTCTCAACATTTTTCAAAAAACAACTTTTCACAGCAAATTTGCCCTCCCAGCATAAGTTTGTTTGCATGCTCAGCTTTGAGGGACACCCAAAAAGCAACCCACAGCCCTTTTCTCTGCTCCCACCCAGGGCTGTGAATTGCAGGCTGGAAACTACTGTCCCAGTACTGTGCTCATGGTTGTTAAACCCCAGCTAATGTGTTAGCTGTGTGTTTCCAAACGACTCGATGGACGTGGTGGGCTTTACGTGCCTACTGGTGGGTGTGCATCAGTGACTTCACTTCCTAACTGCAGGTCAGAGCCCCAAATGTTAGGTATTAAAGAGTTCATCTGTGGACATTTCATGGCCTTTTAGCGAGCCCTGCTGTAAAGCTTGGTTGCTGCTCACAAGTTAACTGTTCCTATCTGACAGAGCTGCCGTCATGCGGTTAGCAAGAATCCTGAAAAGGAGATGCTTAGAAGCGATGTTTTAAATGACCCCCCTGAACTCAGAGAAGCACCAATGAAGGAACAAGTCCATCCAGCAGAGTGTGGAAATTCTGAGTAAACAAGGTCGTCTGGTCTCGGCCGGCCATCTCCTGGGACCCTTCCTGGTCCCTCATTAGCAAGCACGGGGCTGATTGCTTCTGTTGTCACATGAATGGGCTATTGCGCTGCTGAGTAACTGGACCCACTGGGGCAGTGCTAATGGGCTGTGGCGCTTTGCCTTTTTCACCCAAATACAGAGCCTACAGCCCAAACGTGGGAGGAGGATGGTCAGAGAACAGACTGTCCAGCCCTTGCCCCTCCTGGAGAGCGTCCCAGGGCCAAGCCACAAGCTGGCTTGCTCTCCCTTCCTCTCCAACCCTCAGTACCAGCGGCAGTGAACTCTTGTAAATGCAGCGTAAGTTGGCTTGTACAGTCTCTCTCTTTCTCATAAAATGAGTTAGGATACGTGAACAGAAGAGTCCTGAGAGCTGAATGACAGCATGGTACCACAGCTCATGAGCTGTGGACAGAGAATTTTTTTTGTTCTTCGTAACTGATTTTTGAAACCTTTTTTTCAGGACCATGTACCAGCATCTCCTTTTCCTTTTCTTCCTTTCCTTCCATCCCCATAAATGCCAAGATCAAATCCTGGGTGAAGATCCATATGAAATGCCCAAAGACTACCAGGAGGTCTACAGCGGGACAAAAAATGACATCAAAGAGATCCCCAAGACTGCAAAGCCCTTCATTTCTGAGATGATTTTCATGCACACCAGCATCACTGCTGTAAGGAAAGGTGCCTTCAGGTACATGCCCAACCTGATCAAGATTTTGTTTCTTGGCAACAAGATCAAGACAGTTGAACCTGGAGCCTTTGATGGTTTGGAGAAGCTGAGGGACTTGGAGATATCTGGTGCCTCATTAGAAGAACTAGCTGTGGGCACTTTCCAAAACCTTCCAAGCTTGCAGAGGCTGGAGCTGAGAGACAGCCGCCTCAGATACATCCCCAAAGGCCTGTTTGATGGGCTGGAAAATTTGGGAGAGCTCTCACTGCACATCAATGCAATCCCTTCTCTTCCAGAAGGCATTTTTTATTCTCTCATCAATCTAACGTTTTTGGACCTGGCTAGAAACAGGATCACGACTCTTCCTGGGGATGCCTTTAGCAAACTCTCCCAGCTGCAAGTCCTCCGTCTGTATGAGAATGAGTTGCAGGACCTCCCAGAGGGGCTGCTAGACAGTCAGCCTGGGCTGCTGGAGCTCAGCCTCCAGAGGAACAGGCTCAGGGCGCTGCCACCCATGCTCCTGAGGAGTCTGTCTCACCTGGAGAAACTCCTCTTGGACAACAACCTCATTGGGGTTCTCCCACCTCAAGGCTTTTTTGGTTTAAACAAATTGAAGCTGTTGACTCTGGGTTCAAATCGTATTATGGAGCTCCCCTGCTTCCTTTTTGATACCATGCCACACCTGCGGGAGCTAGACCTGAGCAGAAACAGTTTGGCCACACTTCCAGACAGCATCTTTGTCAACCTTACATCTCTTGGCAAACTCATCTTGTCTCACAACCAGCTAGCAGCCCTACCAAGAGCAGTCTTCACTGGGCTCAGCAAGCTCTTGGACCTCCAGCTGGACACAAATCAGCTCTCTGCTCTGGATGACAAGGTCTTTGCTTCTCTCTCAAATCTGAAAACCCTCAACCTTCGGAAGAACCAGCTGGAGAGTGTCCCCCGAGGTCTCCTGGACCCCCTGAAGAAGCTCAGCTCAGTGTATCTCAGTGGGAACCCATGGAGATGTGACTGCAACCTCTGCTACCTGCACAGCTGGATCCTGGGCAACAGTGAGAAGGTCAAATTGTCCACCCAAGTGTCATGCAAGAGTCCACCCCACCTGGCAGGGCAAGCAGTGACATCGCTGAGGGATGACCACTTAATTTGCTCAGCTACTTTGCCTCTTTCAGCTTCTTTTACCCCATCTCTGCCATTCACATCCACAACGTCACAAGGGATGTCAACCTTGCTGTCACCTGCAGCCTTGCCCACTGCAGCACCAACCATACTGTCATCAGAAGCCTTTCCCATCATGGCACTGCCAACCACGCTGTCACCTGTGGCCACCACTGCCACATTACCAGCCATGCCAACGGAGGCCTCCTTCACTGCTCCATCACCAACCATGCCATCTAAGGCCTTCATCACCACCTCATCACAAACTGAGCCGCTCAAGAACTCCGTCATCACCACACCATCATCAACCACACTGCCAACGGCCTCCATCACCACTCCATCACCAACTGTGCTGCTGAAGGCCTCCATCACCACCCCGTTGCCAGCTCTGCCACAGGAGGCCTTCAGCCTGTATCCAACTCCATCCACCATAAGCCTACAGCCTTCTGGGGCCACCAGACCAGAGCCTGTACTGTCCACTCTAGCTTCTGCCACCACACCAGTGCCAACCAGCCTGCTGGCAGCCACCACCAGGCAAGTGCCTCCTGCTCTTCTGGTGCCCACGGAGAGGCCAGACACCATCCCATGGGGGACACCAAGCATCTCCCTTGTCTCAGCCCCTCCCACGGCACTGCTGGCCTCGCACTCCCCATTCCACCGTGCTCCTGCACCAGATGGGGAGCGGGACCATGCCAATGTGTGGGGCTTGTCCACAGTTGGCACCCAGCCTGCTCCCACTG